TCCAGAGAGTGCTTTAGAACTTTATTAGTATCCAATGAATTTTAAAATCTAAGATGATATTTGTGATCAGAGAAACTTAACTTTATCGAAATATAACTGCTCGCACTAAAATCAGAACAAAAGATTTTTTTTCGATCCTTGAGGGGTAGGTACCCCAGATGTTAAATATTGATTTTTCATCAAATACATAATAAACTCCTGGAAAAGAATCGGAATTCAATGATTACTCTTAAGCTCATAAAATTAAGTGCAGGTTTTCAGTAAAGTCAGGTTTCTAATTTGGCACACCTCTGCTTTGATCGAGGAATTAGTGTATTCAACAAGATTGAGGGACAACAATGAGTTTAATAGAGAATTAAGACATCCTGTCGTATAATACTCGTTTATGTTTCTGTAGCTTTTCAACAGCTACTAACACCTTTAGCATCTTTCAGCACCTGCTCAACACTTTTCCCCTTGAAACCAACGATATTCCATTTTTAGAAGACATCAAACTTGTACCGCTTTTCTTGATTCCTGTACTACGTACAAATGTTCACTAATATGAAACTGAAATCAACGCAAATAAGTAATATAATGAGATTAAAACTAGCTGACAACTACAGATTGAAGCGTAAGAGTGTCGGGTGGGGGTACATTTAAGGTATCTATAAAGGGTTAGATCAAGAGATTATTATGAAAGGATAGATATAAATGAAGAGGTTAGATTAAGATTTTAAAATGAGAGGGTAGATACAGATTCGTAATTTGATTGATTTATTAGAATATGAAGTTAGAATAAGACGTCAGATACAGATTTGTGAATTATTTCGAGGGTGGTAGCCGGTAACCTACCCAGGCTTTCGAACTTTTGGAAACCTCTGCGGCGCTCCCGAGGTCAGGATTTGTTTTTGATTGCTTTTAAGACTTTTCGAGAACTCAGGAACCTTCTAATAGATTCTCAGAAAACGGATTTTTTAGAGTGTACAAATCAAAGCTGCAATAGAAGATAATAAGAAAAGCTCATTTGGTTTCAAATGTGAACTTACGTCCGCATTCAAATTTTCATATGAAGAGAGGACAAATTCTTTTCATGTTTTTTCTACTCATGATAATTATGAATAAATAAAGCTGTAAATACTGTCATCCACGTTGACATAGATTTACTTTAAAATTCAATCTCACTGCTAACGGACACACTAATATTATTTTGTATATATTGCTTAACTTTTTACAGTTGCTGTCGATTTCCATAGGTCCAATGTAGTGTGAGTTTTACCACTTAAACTGACATAAAACATGATAGACGAAAAGCATCATACATCAAAAGCCATAGCCAATATCCTGAACAATTTCAATTTTACTTCCCTAAAAGTAATGATGAATATTTATTGTTGACGTTCATAAATATGAACGTGCATAGGAAAAATTTGGTTTGTATGCCAGAACAGAAGAAATGAAATAAACTTATGGGTGTTGACTGTGAAAATGTCAATACATACTCTAATTCATCTTTGTCTTCATACACAAGACCCATGTTCTCGTAGGTACTTGCAATACTGGGATGTTGAGCAGGAAGTGACTTCAATTTGATTTTAAGTGAACGATTGTAATGATCCAATGCGAGATCATAATGACCGAGACAATGATGAACCCCGCCAATATTGTTGTGCGATGAACCCAAATCAGGATGATCTGGTGGTAGATGCTTCCCGTGAATAGCAACTGACTTCTCATAGAAGTCGAGCGCTTCAAAATACTTCTTCTCTTCTTGATAGATCAAGCCAATGTTGTTGTAAAAGGAGGCCAAATGTGGGTGATTCTCATCGTGTGCTTGTTTGAAGAGTGACACGGCTCGATTGTACGATTCGAGTGCTCGACCACGATCACCTTTATTTCGATGAACAATACCGATGCTGTTGTGTGTGTTACCAATATTGACATGATCGGATGGACGAGTTTGCATCTTCATCTCGAGTGATTTCTGATACCATTCGAGACTCGTATCATACTCACCTTTCGCATCAGCAACCATACCAAGACGTTCATACAACACACAAAGGGAGGGATCATTCGATGGAAGTTCGCTCAACCATCGACGATAGTACTTTTCGGCCAAATCGAATTTTCCCATTCGGTACGTCACATCACCAAGAGAGAGAAGATTCGTTTCCTCTCTGTCGTATTCGTTCTTCATGTGATCATACAGTTGTTTGAGATCATTGTCATGATCACTACATAATGTCATTCGAATGATCGACATTGTTGCATCAGCTGATGATAGATCTCATTCAACCAAAAATATTGAATTCGCCATAAATATCATTGACATTACTTATCAACACGATCACTCTTTCTATGTTAGTGATAAAAGACACATCAGTGGCAGCATAATTGATTTCGATGGCCAATTCATGTACCTATATTATCCTTGTCGCTCAAGCCATGAGTCTTTGTCCGTGACAATAAACATTCTAATGTTGCGTCGAGATGAAAGCGGTGAGGCATTGAAGAGAGTTTTTTCTTTATTTCTACATTTGGCAAATAGAACACTAAGCTATTACATAAATATCTATAGGACAAATGAAGTAATCCTTAGAGATTCGCTTTATTCAACTGGAACCTGTAAATAGTCAATAGAAATAAATGAATACAATGTCTACTGCATGGTTGCCTGTGGAAATTTCCCTATTGATACTATTATATGCCGAAAATATATGAACCTTTCCCGGTTTGTAGTCGAACAAAAGGAAAAGCAATATTCCTTTACAGTATGGAAAACATAGGCACCACGTTACGCCAATGTATTATTTATTTTCCAATGGCGGAGACAATCGTTTTAACTATTGGTCAAAATCCATAGGTTTTCCCCATAAATTCAAGATAAAGAATATTTGTTTTTCACATAAAAATCTATACTCAATATAGTGTTTAAAGTTTTTTGCCTAAATAATCTTTTCGACAATGCGAGAAATAGCTGATGGAATTATGTGACCTTTCAAGTTGCGTAAACTTGCTTTCGACTATCTTGACATTGCAACCTTTTCGAGGTTTCATCTTCATTATATTAATGTAAAGTGAAAGATATCCATTACATTATACTTGGTTTCAGAGAATACTCAATCACCTGAAAAAGAGTTCACCTTCATTACTTCTGAATTTTTAAGAAAGCGCTCTTTTTTCGATCCGATCTGTATTTGCTAAAGGATAATATCAATATGACTATTGTTTTAATTGGCAATTCGTTTCGTCTTTACTTTTTGTTAAAATGGTTGGGGTTTTACAGTCATTTTCAGTAACTAAAATTGATAAATTTTGTTAATGAAACGCATATTGATAAGACTGAAAATTTATCAGTAGCCACGAAAGAGGCTATAAGTAAGTTCCTTCCTGTGATAAAAGCGAAATCATTCTAATTAACATCTATGAACATTTCGGGTTTAAAACAGAGGGTGAAACAATTTTTTTTTGTTTTCTTAGTTTATTTTATATCCACTTGTGCTACTTGAGTTTTTCATATCTTCTTTAGGAATGCACCGTGATGTTTCATGTGAATCAAAAGAGTCCGCTAAAATGAAAACAACATTTTACAAATAATCGGATAGAGAACCATACACAGAACAGCAAAATGTTAAGCGATAGTGGCGAATAAAATCATGTAATCCTACGATGCGACATGCAAGTTCGTCATCTAAATGTAACATGATAAGAATAGTTAGAGTACTACAACTAGTTGTATTTCTACGAGGATAACACAAACATTTTTTTTGACAGCACTTTTGAATGCGTAATTCAGTAAGTAATGTGTGTTACACCAGTATTCAACATTTCTTTCAATTAGGCAATGTACATATGGCTAATATCGTAATTCTCTTTTCGGATGCTCTGTTGGATTGGATTGGATCAGATTCGCGTTTACCCAACCAATATGAAACTCAGAAGTGCATATTTCTTAGAGCGATGCATAAACAAATATTAAAAACACAAGTTTTCCGAACAATCTGCGTCGATTATTTTTTTCTTAGCAGCAGTCATTCAATGCATAGAATTTATTTAGGAACTCTTGTTGAAAAACGAAGCTCTTTAATGCATTTTAACCAAAAATATCATTCAGTTTCAAATTAAAAAACAGCCTATCTGTAAAAATATCCGATGTTCTTAACAAGTTCCAACTATTCTTCATGCTAGGCTCAATTTCTCGGTTGAGTGAAATTTCTCATGATCAATCATCATCATTATCAGCTGATGCAACAATGTCGATCATTCGAATGACATTATGTAGTGATCATGACAACGATCTCAAACAACTGTATGATCACATGAAGAACGAATACGACAGAGAGGAAACGAATCTTCTCTCTCTTGGTGATGTGTTAAGAAACATGGGAAAATTCGATTTGGCCGAAAAGTACTATCGTCGATGGTTGAGCGAACTTCCATCGAATGATCCCTCCCTTGGTATGTTGTATGAACGTGTTGGTAGGGTTGCTAATGCGAAAGGTGAGTATGATACGAGTCTCGAATGGTACCAGAAATCACTCGAGATCGATATGCGAACTCGTCCATCCGATCATGTCAATATTGGTAGCACACACAACAACATCGGTAATGTTCATCGAAAGAAAGGTGATCATAGTCGAGCACTCGAATCGTACAATCGAGCCGTGTCACTCTTCAAACAAGCACACGATGAGAATCATCCAGATATGGCCATGTTTTACAACAACATTGGCATCATCTATCAAGAAGAGAATAAGTATTTTGAAGCGCTCGACTTCTATGAGAAGTCACTTGCTTTGAAAAGGAAGCATCTACCACCGGATCATCCTGATTTGGGTGCGTCGTACAACAATATTGGCATTGTTCATCGACGTCTCGGTCATTATGATCTCACATTGGATCATTACAATCGATCACTTAAAATCAAATTGAAATCACTTCCTGCTCAACATCCCAATATTGCAATGACCTACAAGAACATGGGTCTTGTGCATGAAAACAAGGATGGCCTGTATTGCGCATGAATATCCTTCAAGTCGGTCTTAAAAATTAGTTATTTCATTGTTTCTCCTGTATGGAAATAATATTTAGTGCAAATGCATGAGTTCACGTGGCTGAAACACATGGAGTAGATAGCACTAAGGTTAGATCTGCTTGGTTGTGATTTGAGGAAGCAGATTTGCCCGTAATAATAGCACAAACCTGCTTTCAATTTATTTTGATGAAAGGACCATCCGAGAAGAAAATATTTATAAGTCGTATCAAGAAGAAAAGAAACGGTATGATTCCTAACTGGTGATTAAGTCAAGGTTTATTAGGAAATATTTTCCGATCCGAGCCATTTCACTATTAAAATACGTAGTATCTAAAAATATAATCGACGCTCACGGGAGAAAATGGAGAACTAGAAGTCAGGGCACATACAACCTGATGCATAATTATTAGATCATTTCTTGTCGAGCTTAGGATAATCAGATAAAGCTTATTATTTGGAACTAGAGGTATCATAACATAACTTTCTCTTCACTAGATTTCCAAAGGTTTATTTCGTTGTTTTTTCTTAGTTATTGTTGTTTCATGAATTTTAATAGTGCATAAATATAAGACCACATTAAAAATAATATCAATATTTTGTCTTGGCTTCATTTAACTTAATAACTTCAAATATTCTTCCCGGCATCGATTCGACCAGAGCCCGGAGTTGCTCGATATTGATTTCTTCCCAAGATTTCATTATGGCAGTTTTTAACTGTTCTTTTGCTCTAAATTGTTTACCTTCGGCATAGGCCTTCCTTGCTAGTATTACTCAGAAATTTTCAATTGGATTAAAATCAGGTGACGACGATGACCAAGGTAAAACATTGATTTTGTGCTACTTAAACCAAGTGAGATTGACCTTCGCTTGATGAATAGGTGCATTGTCTTGCTGAAAGATCCCATTAGATCCACCAATACAACTACTAATATCAATCAGATGCTTTTTTTTAGCACCTCTCGATATCATTTTGAGTTCATCCGTTCATCTACAAAACATATTGAACTTTTACCATCCCAACCAAACGAAGCTCAAATAATAACGCTACTACCACCTTGAGCACGAGTTGAAAAAATCTCTTCTTCTTTACGGAGATCATGCCAGTAGTAAGAAAAGCCAACAGACCTTCTAAGTTAATTTGTTTTCGTCAGACTAAAAAACTTTTTTTCATTCATTATTCCAGATCATTAGACATTAGACATGATTTAATTCTCTTCTTTTATTTTATTTTAATTTATTTTAAATTTAAATCAATTTAATTTGACTTGATTTGATCTTATAGTTTATTAATTTTAATTTAAATTTAAAATTTACAAATTGTGACGTTTCGTATCTCGATAAGATACTT